TTTTCCAGAACCCCTGTTTTATTCCACAATTTTCCAGAACCCCTGTTTTAACTGGTCTGGGTAAAACATACACTTGGCTGGAAGTTTATTTACAGTATCAATGGCTCTTTGCTGTGCTCATCTGATATAGACCTCCGGACAACTGTTGCAAACACTGTAGATGCTAAAAAGACAACAAAAGCCAGATCTGATTGAGCAGAGAACAATGAAAGCAAGAAACTACTGATGGCAGAAAATTCTGAAATATGCAATTAATTGTTCTAAAGCTTTACAGCCGTTTGCAGATATTTAACTTTGCATGTTGTGATTGTAAATCTGTAGTTTTACTATTTCTGTGGCTTTGACAGCATTTGTTTTTTTCCTTTTATTTTATTTTTTATTTTATTTTATTTATTTTTGTTACAGAGCAACGTTTTTGACTAACATCTGTCCCCGAGTACAGCACAAAGCTTACTCCTGTATGCTGTGTTTGCTGCTGTCCACAGCTCACAGATGCTAGAAGATCAAAGTGCAATTAAGTTAACCTTTATACTACAAGCCTATCTGAAGAAAGGTTGTAGTCCAACACTAAGTTACAGTATGTTCCAACCTTGGTCCATTGTCAGTGTTAGGTACAGTTTATCTTAAGCTGATTCAAGCCATTATGAGCAATAAGAATTACCGTAAATCTAAGAAAACTTAATATTAAAACTTCACAAATGTTTCATTAATTATTTGAGACCGCGTGCATACAGTATGTCACGACACCAAGTCAGAAAAAGACAAGCTGCACTTAACATTTTTCAACTTTTCATACAGGAGCGATTARTGAAGCTTTTCCTTCAAAAGGCTATTTTATAAAACGACTATCATTGTGAACAACACTTGACATGTGACATGATGTATAACTGCAGTTATTAAGTAAAGCCTGTGCCGGTGTAAAAACTGTAAGACAGTGTTGAACTCTGGATCTAACAGCTCTCTGAATGACACGTGCTAACATGCTAGCACTACAACTACAAAAACCACATTGACAACAGAGTCATACCACCAAACCGCGCGTGGGCGAGGGTAAGACCATACTTTAGGAAACATAAARCGCACTGCTACCTTTAATTTGTCAAGAAGAACGTGTTTTGAAGTAGCTGTCCTCAGTCCTCTAACTGCAGCCTGGGATGCCATGGATGCCGCCATGTTGACACGGAAGACTAATGAGAAATTACGTAATACGTTAGTGGCCGCTCATAGGTTAAAAGCGGGAAGGGGCGGTGCTTCCGACAGACACCCACACTGTGTTGTGG